CTAAATGGCCACCATGGTCACCACCCATCTTGAGGAGTTTGCCCCCTCACATATACTAATGTGCCACAAACAGGACTTTAATATCACCAACCATTCCCATGTTAGTACGGTGTATCCATATAAATGGCCCACCCTGTAGAAGCTTTTTCAGCCGTTTCCCAATTAGCACTGTTTTCACACAGTGCTAACAGCTACAGCATGGCGATGAGCAGCTCAGTGTAATGCTGTACGCCAAGTGTTTATTCAGGTTCCTGACAGCTGAGAAACATTCAACTGTTCTTTTCATCCAGCTATACAATTACACTGTGGAGCTGGAAAAACGCCAACCATCGTATCCTATTTATACAGGTGGAAAACAAGAGTGGAGGAATTAAAATATAGACAACTTAAATGAATGAGTGACATGTATTTTACTTTTTATTGTAGCACTCTACTTTCTATTAGTCTTTTTTACGCTAATAACTCAGAAAGCACCTGTATGTGTCTCAGGAGCTACACCTTACTCACAAGCCATCTGTGGGTGGGCATCAGAAACAGCAATCTTACACTCACTCGACACACTGACCTACATATATCTGATCAGGAAGTGGCACAGTGACACACATTCATTGTATGTTAAAGTGTGCTTTTGCACAGTAGCACATGCGGTCTTGCATAAGAGGAGGAAAAGCAGCGGGCATATTTAAGCAAAAACCTGAGTGCTGATGTAAAACACCTCTCATGAGGCACAGCAATCTGAATAAGAAAAAGCTAGTGACAAGCTAGAGCGCTGCCATTATATTCACTGTTAGTGTGTGTTGCAGAGCATTTTTGTTCTTTCAATTTGACACTTCACACAATTGATTTACATTTTTGCCACACCGTCTATTGAAGCTTACCATTCAAAGACTTGTTTGCCATTAGGATAAAGAAAAAAGGTTAATCAGAATCAATCAGAGCAGGACACGGGGGGAGCTGAACTTGACTTGCTGAGCAGGCTTATGAAACTATCCACCCTGACCTAGATAAATGGGCAGTAATAAATTCAGTGCTTTTCCAGACTTATTCAAATGCAAGACCATGACAAAGGACACTGCACTGGCTCTGTAGCTCTATCTAAAAAACTCAAAATGAAAGAAGAGGAAATTTGTCCTTCAGCTTCAATATGCCACATTTGAACTTTAACTCATTTTAAATCATACAGCCATTCAGTACTCAGTAACCTGTCGCCTTTTTAATGTCAGTATTGTAAGCTTTTTACATTTTGCAGGTAATAACACTTATACAAGTTATCTAAGGGGGGACATTACTGTTTTACATATACCAGTTTGAGACACACTTAATCTATTACATCTGGGAACCGTGTGAATGTGTTTGACGTGGTGAGGAGGATGAGGTGAGGTGCCACAATGAGGAGACATGACGTTGACAAGATATCTGAATAGGTTTGTGTCTGTGGTATGGGGACCATGGTGTGCACCCATCGGGGGGGGGGACATGGATTACAAGTTAACACCCTGAGCCTCTGAAGTTTAGAGTCTCAGTCACACAAACCTAGACCGGTTTGTGACCTCTGGCAATCTCCAGCTACTAAGGTAAAATGTTTATTTCCCAAATGTTTTTTTAGTAGTTGCTGGCAGTCCAAATGTGAGATTGGTGAGAAGGTACACACCAAAAAGCTCCCTGTGATTGCTTTGATTGCTAAAAGATTAGTTTGGTCGCCCATAGTTTGCATGGAAGATGCCAACTTGTCTGCAAACACTCACCACTTGCTCTCTGAACTGTAGTGAAACTTGAAAAAGTGCAACCCAAACGGAAAATGAAGAATGTTCATGTAAAATGATTTTTGAGTAAAAGTTGTGCCTTACTTCTGTAGCCAACATTTTAAAATGCACAACTTTTACTTTGAAAGTGAAAGGTTTCTTGAATGTGTTGCACTTTTTACAATTCCCCCAC